CCCCCCCCCCCCTCTCTAGAGATGGGCATTTAATGTTCACTTTTAAACATTTTGGGCTTTTTAAAGGGCTTTACAATACAGTAATAAACATACAATTCTGGAATAGGAAGACGACTTTACAGTAATACTTAGGTCTATTTCATCATGTTACAAAGCAAATAGTTTTACTAGACGCTTATTAAACCACTTATTTGGTGAAATGTGTCTGTTTGCACTGCACAATTGCTGTGTTCCACTTTCATTAGACTATTTAGAGTTATAAATTGAGTCATCCTATTTCGGAGTTTTCTGGTTATCACTGTAGTATGAGATGTTAATCTTATTCAAATCAAAATCAGATTAAAGTCAAAACAAAATCAAAAACCGATTCGTAAAATTGCATTGGCTCATATTTGTTGTCCATACTTTTCATTTCATATGTTAAAAACTGGTATTGTACTGTATTGTTTCGAAATAAAAAATCGCTTTTAATCAACAAAAATTCGATTATTTAGCAGCCATCCAACTTTTGCTGGCAAATAAGCGATTTTTTAAAATTTTGAAATATAGAGTGCACGTACACCAAGGGTGTAATGCAAGGAAAGTTAATTGCAGTCGTGTATACTCTGCGTACACATTAAAACCAGTTCTCTTTGGGCGGAATTTGTAAACAAGAATAGATGCATCAGTGTTCGTCTAGTATCCGAGGAGGTTAAAAGCATTAAATTTTGATTATTTTAATAATTCACATAATAGTTTCCTATGACCAGAATATTTCTTTGTTTTTTTTTATGTGAAAGATGGATCCCAAGTCAGGCCTTGACATCCGTCTTGTGTTTACATTACTGCCCAGAGACAGTACACTGCAGTACAAAAGATGTGTACACTTCTCAAATAACTTTCCTTGCATTACATCCTTGACGTACACAATTGTGAATCGAATATGATAATCTATACATCCAGGGTCACTGAAATTACGTTTACAGTCCCTTTAAAGCTTATTAACAAAGCCTATCCCTACCCCTGGTATACATAATATCCCTGTAAACATATTCCTAGCTGATTAGTTTCTCATGAAGAGAACACGCTATATCCTTCCTTCCAATATTTGTAAACTAAACAAGCAGGGACGTATCCAGGCCGGATGGGGGTGGGGGGTTAAAGGGACTCCCTTCCCCCCCCCCCTCCTTGAAAAAGTTAACGCTGTAGAGGATCGATTTTTTCTTTAAAAGATATATGCTGGTGTAGTTCCAGTAGTTCTCCAACCTGCATCGGATCAACAATATTATCATCCTTATTGTTATCTATGCATCATTTTCTTCCCGATTGGTTTTTTAGTATTCACAAAAAAATTATATTTTTGAAACCTTCAAAGGCTTGGACCTTTGCATAGAAAAAAGATAATCTAAAATTGTTTCATTAAAAAAAAGTTAGTAATCGTATGTATTCTTGCCTGAGTTGACTACATTCTTATAATTCAAAACGTGTACGTTTTCGTATATTTCAAGATGTCTACCCAGTCTACAATACAAGATGTCTGCCTAATCACAAATCCAAGATGTCTACCCAGTCTGCAATCCAAGATGTCTGCCTAGTCTACAACCAAAGACATGTCTACCTTGTCTACAATCCAAGATATCTGTCTAGTCTTTATCCGATATGTCTGCTTATTCTACAATCCAAGATGTCTGCCTAGTCTAAAATCCAAGACATGTCTGCCTAGTCTACAATCCAAGATGTCTGCTTATTCTACAATCCAAGATGTCTTCCTAGTATACAATCCAAGATGTCTGCTTATTCTACAATCCAGGATGTCTGCCTAGTCTACAATCCAAGATGTCTGCTTATTCTACAATCCAAGATGTCTGCTATAGTATACAGTCCAAGATGTCTGCCTAGTCTGCAATCCAAGATTTCTGCCTAGTCTACAATACAGGATGTCTACCTATTCTACAATCCAAGATGTCTGTCTAGTATAAAATCCAAGATGTCTGCCTAGTCTGCAATCCAAGATGTCTGCCCAGTCTACAATACAAGATGTCTGCCTAGTCTACACTCCAAGATGTCTGCCTATTCTACAATCCAAGATGTCTGCATTGTATACAATCCAAGATGTCTGTCTAGTCTACAATCCAAGATGTCTGCCTAGTCTACAATCCAAGATGTCTGTATAGTATACAATCCAAGATGTCTGCCTAGTCTATAATCCAAGATGTCTGCCTAGTCTACAATCCAAGATGTCTACCTAGTCTATAATCCAAGATGTCTGCCTAGTCTACAATCCAAGATGTCTGCCTAATATACAATCCTAGATGTCTTACTAGTATACAATCCTAGATGTCTGCCTAGTCTATAATCCAATATGTCTGCTGCAGATCTATAATTCTACATTACTTGAACACACAATGGATGTTTACAAGGGAATCACTCAACCATCATTCAAAATATTCAAAATATTCTGTTTAAGGGAACAAAAGTAGGAAATGGAAAAATATCAAAATGAAGAGTGGGTCGTGGAACTGCAAGGTGTTCCAATACACATGGGAATTTATTGACGACTGTTATATCGTCTTCGATCTTCGTTAATTTTTTAAAGATACAAGAAAGGTAGAACTTTTATGGAAAGCTCGTCAGACGTACAGCCTCGTTTTTTTTCCTTCTTTGCCATGCATTAAATATCAGAAATCAAAGACGACTTCCAAGATGGAAGGAAAGGGGGATTTATAAGGAAGGATATTGGAGGGCTTGGGAACTAATGAGGGAAGTGAGGGAAGATGTGTATAGATGGACTGAATAAGGGGGATGGGAGGGGGAATACGAACTGGTAAAAGAAGAAAATGAGAAAGGGGGAATCCTAGAGGGTGGTATTATACAGCTTCAGATAAAAAGGTCAATTTTTCACAGAGTGCACAAGAAGCTGTCTTCCTATCTTTTAGTTCTGGCATCAGATCCTTTACAATCTTCACTATACAGAGCTCCCAGATTAAACCTTTTTTTTGGGAAAAGTTTGAATTGAATAACAGAGCTCCCAGATTAAACCTTTTTTTGGGGAAAAGTTTGAATTGAATAATGCCAGTTTATCTACTAAAAAAATATAAAAATTTGGTCATGTAATTTTTTTAAAAGCATGTTTTTTCTTGGTCAAAATAGAACATTAAAAATAACTTAAAATTAAAGCCTATGAAAGGGACTACACCCAACCAAACCCCCTTCCTATTCTTTCCACGTTTTCTAACAAAAAGATTTTTGATTTTACAAATGTCAACTTACCTTTATTGTTTGCTAAATAATATATAAGGTTTGATTGAATTCAGAAAATATCAAAAAACAAATTTATATTTTTATCTGGGCTGGAAAACTTTAAAGATCACACGGGTATAGTTTTCCTTTTAAATATTTTATAAAATATTTTTTGGAGATTTCAGGGGAATGGGCATATTCTAATTTGCACAAAACTTGCGAAAATATAAATCCCTGAAATTTCAATTTGTATGCAAAATCCGGCATTTGAATAACAGGCTTACTTAGCTTATATACTCAAATATAAGAATGTTTTTGAATTAATTTAAACAGTTTCCGAATATTTCCAAATATTTCTTTAAAATAAAAAGTTTTTAATTTTTTAATTCTTGCAAATGATATTGGACAGTAAACCATTTAGAGTTTAGACCCTTTTAAATGTTAAAAAAAAGATTTCTGGGATTTTCAAAAAGTGTTGCCTCTATAAATATTTCTAAATTATAAAATTTGAAAAATGATGTTCAAAAATCAAGCAAATTTGAAAGCTGGTCGGCCGTTTTTAAATAGGGGTTGGACACGAATAGTGATATCAGTATGTTTAATCGTATTCGTACATTAGCATTGTGCTATGTGCATCTTAAATAGACATTATCCAACCCCCCCCCCCCTCTCTCTCTAACCCTAACTAACCTATATCAAACCGCCCAGCTTTTAACCGTTAAATGAATTGAATTGCAGAAAAAATGTTCGACTCATGATAGTCAATAACAAACTGCCCCCCGAGGGGTTCAAAGCAATGGGAGGTGGTTGGGGGTGTATTAAAAAATGCGTATTATTGAAATGCGACTAATATTGTGTGTTGAAACGCTAAAGTATACAACATTTTATACCTTCATATTTGGGCCATAGACAAGAATAACAATATTACTGCTGCAATGCCCCCCCCCCCCCCCCCCCCCCGCACGTCTCAACATCATCTTTAATA